AGTATTAAAAAATTTCAATATCTTTTAATCCTTTTGCGTTTGCTGGGAGGTAAAATTATTTCTTAATATACGTATACAGAGATATTTAATTACGATACAAAATAATTGTTTATGTCAAATTAGAGACATTCTAAATATAGTGTAGTTAACTCTAGTCAGCCACACTTATTTTCGAGTCGAATCCTTAATTCGCCACTCTCCGGTCCGTAAGACCACTCGACTTTGTCGCATTGTCATTTTCAAGCTTGTACTGTAAAAATTGGAAATAAATACTCTAAATAAAATTTTTATTTATGATAATATCAAATCAAGAAAATAAATTAATAAATTTAAACTGAACTTATTATAAAAAAACTAGAAAATTAAGTTATTATGTGAAAACTATACTCCGTCCAACGAGGAGATCATGGTTATCTTTGCGAATAGGCAAGCAAAGTGGGGGTAAAGTCCCTAGAGAAGGGTAAGGGAAGAGAGGGAAAGAAAAGAACAGAGAAAGAGAGAGAGAGAGAGAGAGAGAGAGAGAGAGTGAGTGAGTGAGTGAGTGCGTATTAATTTCTTCATCAATTAATCTGTGAAAAAGGAAAAAAAATTTTCAATATTACAACCTTTATTCTTAAAACTATCTAAATATGAATGTCGACATTGGACATGTCTTTTATGTTGAATAAAACTTTTTCGTGATATTTTCTTTAGACATTTCAGATCATCTTATTATTGCTTCTTAACATCGAATAAGCAAAAATCACAATTTATTTTATCCAATGACTAAATAATTTAACGTGTCAAAATTAATTTAAATGTTTTAAATAATTTATAATTTTATAATATAAGAACTATATGTGTTTTCTTACCGTTGTTTTAACATCTTGTGTGACTTTACATTCGTGTAATGTATTTTGGTGTAATTATGTTTTAATTTTTATTAATTTAAAATGTGTCACTTTTATATTATTATCGTGCATTCACGAAAAATATTACGATAGACCAATTCAGTCATATTTAATTATTAAACTTATTCTCCCAAAGTAGTATGTTAAAAAGTGGCCGATTTTTACTCCTAAGCCGGCATGTAAAATATGCATGGTTTCTTATAATTTTTTTGACCGTAGAATCACGTGGTGACATCTGTTTGCTACCAAAGTGTGGGAAAATGGGTACAAACCCCAATGATGAGCCACTTATAACCTTCATTTTTCTTTTCATATGCAGTATAACTCGTCACAAAATGCTTTGATAGCAAACGGCCATATAGAATCACCACGTGATTCTACGGCCAAAAAAAATATTAGAAACCATGCATATGCCGGCTTACGGGCAAAAATCGGCCACTTTTTAACTCCTTTCAATTTATACTCCTTTATACTCCTTTCAATTTAGTGAAGAAGACTTACAAAGTAAAGTCAAAACATTTACTTTATATCTATTTTTATTATAAATAAAGTTTTGTATTAGTATGATACCTTGTATTTATTTTAATATCGTTGGCCCAATTCTCTCATATTGTTTTGCATAAAACGAGCCTAATATTTTTATTTTGTTACTGTTATTAATTTATTAAGTACTTATTAGAATATTAAACATTTTGCATTATCATTAAATGTGTACTCTTCATTAAAATCTGCAATAATTATAGATAAATGTTATCTCTCGCAATAAAAAAATTAAATCATAAAATACAATGTTAAAATTAATAATAAAATTTATGATAAAATATACAAAACAATATCAATAATAAAATAAAAAACGAAATTTTCGTTATTATCATTTATTGTTGTGTAATGGTTGTATGCTTGTTTGTAGATAATAATACAAATTCGGGAAGAAAGTGAGCCTTTGGATGCCCCACTACTCGCTCATCCACGATATTATTGTTTGGAGCATAAATGCTACGTTATTTTGGGTGGACTTGGCGGATTTGGTTTAGCTAGCAGATTGGTTGACTCTTCGAAGTGCAAAAAATCTGGTATTAACATCACGAACCGGGATCAGAACAGGTTATCAGCAATCAAGAGTAAAGCTATGGCGATCTTACGGTGTGGATGTACAAATTGTTACAGTGGATGATAATTTGAAACATGAAGATTGTGAATCTATATTAAAATTTGCTGAGGATAGCACCAGTGGACGCTATATTTAATCTTGCAGTTGTTTTAAAAGATTGTATATTCCAAAATCAATCACCGCAAACGTTCGAGGATTCATTCAAATCGAAAGCATGCGGATGACGAAAAAAATGGACGAATTGTCGAGGAAGATCTGTCTACAACTTCGACATTTTGTCGTTTTTTCCTCCGTGTCGTGTGGAAGAGGAAACGCAGGCCAGACAAATTATGGGATGGCTAATTCCGTAATGGAGAGAATTTGTGAGAAGAGGATGGAAGAAGGATTACATGGTTTAGCGATACAATGGGGTGCTGTTGGTAATGTCGGACTCGTGGCAGATATGCAAGAAGAAAATAAGGAATTGGTTATTGGAGGTACATTGCAACAACGAATATTTTCCTGTTTGGAGACATTAGAAGTATTTCTGTTACAAGATCGACCTGTCGTAAGCAGTATGGTTGTTGCTGAAAAAGCAAAAATTGGCGGATCAATGAATATTTCTGAAACGGTTGCTCATGTCATGGGTAAGCAGTTTTATGCAAAGCTAAACAAAGAAAAATACTAAATACATATAATGCCATGAAATAAAAGTGAAATCAAAATGTTATTTTGAAGTATATTTATTGGAATAAGTAGGTAATATCTCAAAAAATATATTTTTTGCGCAAAATTAAATTTACAGGAATGCTTATAATATTTGGAAAACTATCTCTCACAATTGCTGTAGACTTAACCCTTTAAGTCTCTATGTGTTTCTCTCATTTAAATTATTATTGTATAACTTTGGTTCTAATCAAAATTTTTAGATCGCAATTGATATTTAGAAGAAAAAGGAGTTGTTTTTTCCGAAAATCTAGTCAGCTATAAAGTGGGATATCTGAAAGAAAGAAAGAGAAGAAATTGCTTGATAAAGGACCCAAACTTGAAGGTCGTAAAGTCGTTTTTTATATACTGATTGCCAATTGTTGTTGAGAATAATAAACATTTTCTGTTTAGAGCATTACGTTGACTTTTTTAGACAGAAATCGGTAACCTCTTTATTAT